ATGTTACTTAAAGAATTCAGCCGTTACAATTGTACGAGTCGGAATTTACAGCTATTTTGGTCGAAATAACATTTTGAACGGGAAAGTTTGTTTGTACGTTCGTTCTGTCTTCGCGCCGCAACGTCTGAATGGATTCGAACGAAATTTGCAATACTGAGCTTGTGCGGTATTAATAAAATACTTGTTATCGCGCTCTTTTATACAAAAAGAACCAAGGTAGAGTTGCCACAAGTAACTGCACGCATAAAAGATTATACAGAATATGACGTCAAGGAGGAATATGTGTGTGTATTCACACCATTTTTAATGTATTTTGTCACATTTACTCAGCGAATGTTTTATATTTGCGAAAGCGCCATCTGTTGTAAATTCATGTCAAAATATTGTTTTAAGTCCCCGACATTTTTCACGAGAGAAGTGGAGCTAAAAGGTAAAAAATGTTGCGAAGTATATCATGTCTTTCTATTCACTTCTTTCATACCCTCTGTACTGAGGAGTACCTACTTTACTTTATTTTAATTAAATTTAATGACGTGACATCTATTTCTACACAAGGCAAGTTCTATGAGTGTTATCTTTCATCCTGACTGCTTTTTTTAAACATTGCCCTTACTTTAGGATAACCTTATACGGTGTTGTATGGAAATTTTACCAAACATAAATTTCACGGGGACAAATGCCCAGACCCGAAACAACTATCTGCGTTGGATATAGAGCACTTTGCCCAGCTATGGGAAGTATGAGCAAGTTCTACCTTACAATTAACGTAATGGACACCTTACGGATGAAGCCTTGCTCCGCCCTGGAGGGTTACCAGCGTGAGATTAAAGCGTATGCACGTGTATATATATCCAGCGTCGTTTCGCCGTTGGCTTAATTATTTATAGCGCGGTTAAACGCTTCCGGCGAAACTGCAAGCGTCTGATGAACCGGTTGCTAAAATTAACCGAAACGTAACACGGATTGTTATCGATACCCAAAGTCAATGTGCGCATGGTTCACACGCCTCGAACTGGTATCTAACGGGATACGAGTAGAATCGAAATACGATTGAAACCGAATTTGAAATGTGGTAGGGCCACGGAAAAAGCGTTTAAAATCTTCGCTGTTGCACGAATGGGCAGGTCCGTCCGGATACCACGAGCTCACAAGACTGGCGTGTAGTAGAAGTGTTATGCTTTTGCGTTTCGCCTGTTGGGTGAGGTTGCTGGGGCTAACGTTATTAAAAGGTGCCAACGCATGTTCAACTCTACGGGTATTGCAAATGTTCACGGACCACGGTTATTACTAAACACCAGGTGAACCCCCAATTCGCTTCCCAACTTCACTATCACTGCATAGTATAAAACAAAGTCGTCCCGCTGTCTGTCTGTCCCTATACATGCTTAGATCTTTAAAACTACGCAACGCATTTTGATGCGGTTTCCTGTAATGAATAGAGTGATTCAAGAGGAAGATTTAAATGTTTGTTATTCATGCATAGTATAGTAGAGAAACACTGATAATTTAGAGGTTTCTAATGCGATATCGAAAACAAAAATACAGCATTGCACCCGTGCGAAGTCGGGGCGGGTCGCTAGTCTCACATAAAAGAAAGATTTATACCGGCCATGAATCTAACAGCATAACAAAAGCCTAGTGAATCTCCAAGCGAAGTAAACTTTTTATGATTATGACCATCTTTTGTTTGAAACTTAACTTTTTCCCCGAATTTAAGGTGCCGTGAAGGTTTTATTAGGAATTTAGAAAACGAGAGTGTCGTAAATAGTTCATATTATGTAATGATAACATTGTCTAATTGATAATTTTTTTATCAAAATACCTATATAATAAAAAGTATGTATAAATCGCCGACGAATTATTACAGATCCTTTCTGGGCAAGTTTTCATTTGTAAATTGTTTGGTTTTTCCGTTCAAGGAGAGCGTACGGGGAACATGTTTTTTTTATGTGAGAAAGTGGCAAACGAGCTAGCGGTTCACCTGATGTTATGTGATAACCGCCGCCCATGAACATTCGCAAAACCTGTAGGGTTGCAAATGCGTTGCCACCTTTAAATAAAGTGGGCCCCGGCTATCTAACTCACCAGACGAAACGCAGAAGTGTAACACTTCTACTTTACGCCGGTCTTCTGTGAGGTCGTGGTACTAACCCGGACGGATCTGCCCATTCGTGCAACAGTGAATACTGTTGCGTGGACTCACCACGCGAAATCTTTTTTTTTGGAATAATGGACAATTTCGCTGCTTTCGTAACGCACCCATGGAAATAAATATAAATACAAAGATAGATCATTGAGAAAACAATAAATTTACTCAATGATCTAAATAGCGTTCCAAGCCCAGACAATCTAATTAATGATCCAAAGATAATTTATCTTGATCCGGGTGTCGACGATTGTCAATTTGCTATTTCTGTAGATTTTAAAAATTTAACAGATAAATCATTCGGTGCTGCCTGAAGCACTAGGCTTCAACGCTATCACAGGCGTATATGGAAAACGCACTAATTCAATAAGAGCCTATTTACCCTTGAAGACGCAGGCAAATTGCTTCGTTCCTTTTCTATACGCATAATGATTAATAAAGGAAATCACTGAATAATAGTATTCTATTGACTAGTGATTTAGAGCTAGGCTGGACAGTTACCTTTGGAGATTTTTACGGCTACACGCATACGTTACAAACAATATTTTCACATAATTATGTCGCTTTATACATGACATATAAATAAATAAATCTGAGTACTCAGAAAAATAAGTTCAAAGCGGGTCGTGTGTACATACAATGGACTTGTTTCAACTGACTTTCTCAAATGAATTTATTTTGAAAAATATAATACAAGAGATAAATTAACGAAAAACACGAGTATTGTAAGCTCTGACGGCAATGAAATGAAACGATAAAAAACATTGTGAAACAGACAGGATGATAAAGAGGACCATGATTTATGTTTTTGTCCTAAAATGTTTTAGGACAAAAATAAAAATCGAAAATCGAAAATGAGAACCGTGTTAGCTCAAGGAATGGTCGTATGCTCTTATTTCAACATGCTCGAGCAACCTTAGTTTTAATCCAGCAGTTATAACTGCTGATTTATCAAGTGACCGAAGGTAGAAGAAACATAGTGAAGTGAAAAAAAGAAGTTATGAAGTCTGGCAAGCGAACGTGACGAACCATCATAATACACAGACAGTTAATTTCGATAGTAATAAGGTTGTACACCGAAACATATCGTTATGGGTAACATGTCTTTTCAATGTTTTGCAAACGAAACTTTTACGACTGGATAAATATATTATTATAAATGAAATACCCTAGGCGTTGTTAGTCAAGGTCTCGAAAAGTATTAAATGTTGAAATAACGGCCAGTAGGCTTTGTTCAAAATAAAATAAGTTTAACAAAATAAGCGTAGGTAAGGAAAAAAATCTTTCCGTCTCAAAAAATTAAAGATCATGGCGACACTAGTGCGGGGATAAACTTGTAAATCAGTTCGAATACGAACGGATACATAATTACAGCTAAATCGAGTCGATCGATTGGTGTTTGTAAACAAACGCTTTTATGATTTACCGACGGGCATTTACGCGGCGAGATAAACAGGCGTCCACTTGTGTTTGATATGGCTGTATAATTTTTACAGTCCACGTTCTTATTGCGAATATCGCTATAAAACAGTGGTCGTTTAATTACCATGTAGGAAGAATCAAACGTAACAACGATAACATCTTGATGGATGACAGTCCACAAGCGATCTAAAAAGGGTTCTTAATTCGTTTGCTTTTTTTTTGTTTTTGAAATAATAATATTTCATAAATAGACATGTTTTATTATTATTTTAATATTATATTGTATAATTTTTCCAATATTCTTTTTATATGTTTTTGATTATAATAATTAAGAAATTTGAGAATGTATACTGACAATCTTTAAGCGAACATATCATATTTGCACACCCTACAAAATGGGTGGAATATAGCGATAGTAAAAATTAAGTGAAAAAATTACTGTAATGTTCACCTTATGCCTAACCTATATTTTGCAAATAAATACATTATTATTATAATTAAAAAAATCTATATAAGAACCGATTTTGAAAATTCTTTTTGCGTTGGGTTTGGATTGGCTCCCTTGTTGACCCGTATTAATTTTATCGACCTTGGGATCCAGAGACAAGGGAATCCCTGATAATCAAATAGAAAATGTGTAGATGTGAGATACTTGAAGTAGGTCAAATATATTGTTAGTAAAAATATACTTGTTCTATTCGACAATCTCTGTGTGAACAACCTATGAACGACCCAGGAACCTTTCTGATCGAAGCAGGGAGGACCACGGAATCATTTAACTGTGGTAGGGCCACGCAGCAACCTCGGCTGTTGCACGAATGGGCAGGCTCGTCCGGATATGTACCACGACCTCACAGAAGACCGCCGTAAAGTGGAAGTATAATACTTTCGTGTTTCACTTAACATTAGGTGAACCGCTTGCTCGCTTTACTACTTTTCACATAAAAAAAACATAGGAGCTCGGCGTGTAGTGAAGTATCTGTACTTTTGCATTTAATCGAGTGAAAAAGGTAACTAGAGCCCAGACTTAAAGGTTGGCAAAGCATCTGTAGCCCCACGCGTGTTGTAGATGTCCAATGATGACGTTGATCACATAACATCAAGTGAAACTCATAGCGGCTTCTCACCTTCTCTCTTTGTAACAATGCCGTTTATTCGACAAGCGACAATTGGCAAGTTTCAAATGTAAATTAACAATCTATATATGTCTCACTGTTGAGCAGTGACCTTCTCTGTACTGATGGTATTAGGGCATAGTCCAGAATGCGACCGCACTGCGCTCTGGCAGACTTTGTATACCTTCTAAGTATTATGTGATATTATTTCGTAAAAATGTAGGTTTCCTCACGATGTTCGTACACCGCTGAGCACGTGATAAGTCAGCACTTGAAGTATTAACTAACAATTTAACTAACATGCTCGAGAATATAGAATGAAAAATAAGCACCCGGACACTGAGCTATCGCGGCTACACGGCGAAACTTGTTTCGCCGGCAAACATTCGACCCTCACGCGCCACTGGGCGATATTTACCAAGTTCCAACTCCGCCTCCGCGTCCTCGGAGATGGTCTCCATCACCCTATCAGGGCATGGTTCCAGGTCGCGCGCGAGCGTCGAGCGCGCGCGACCCCCCCGCCGCTGGCACTCCGCGCACGGCGCGAGCAACTTGCCGCCTCCGGGTGGCCGCTTCGAATCCCGCGCTGCGCTAGGAGCGGTCGCGACTCATCCCACGTGGCGCGCACCGACCGAAGTCCGTACAGTCCGATTGCACGGTCCGTCACTTTCACTACACTTGGAACTGGAACACTAAAGCACTGACTTTCACCGGGTCTTTCGCACTGAAGCACTAATTGACCGAACTGACCGAGAGACGAGGTACTCAATTTTCAATCGCTATAACTGTGGTAACGCGCGTTGGGAATATTATATGGTCACTTTTAGTTGAATACTCCGTAATTGTCCTTAATTGTGGACGTCAATAATAAATATACAAGGACTGAAACCGTAGTCGTCGTACAGTTTTTTTTATATATATATTTTTTCCCGACTCGTAAGTCTAATAGGGTTCACTGAAAACCGGCGCTGTGGTTAACACCGCAGCAGAAGCCGAGTGAACACCCATTTAACATCACACTGCCTGTCGAAATGTATAATAATGATAACCTATTATTTATAATTTTAATGTACTTCGTTTTTTTTTCCTGGATGTCTTATTTTTATTTTCGATGATGTTAAATAAATGTCTTTCTTTATTTCTTTCTTTCTTTCTTAGTCGCGTTGTCCCTTGCCGAATACCCTGACCAAATGAAAAGTTTTATTTAAAAAAAACTGAACAGCATTTATATAACTTTTACCCTAAGTACAATTAAACTCTATTTTTGATTACTTTAAACACTGCACAGCTTCGAATAAGGTGTCTCATCTATTCTGGCATCGCCCTGCAATCGTTGAGAGTGACAAAACGCTCTCGACCAATTCATCCGCGTCCCGGAATCGTCGTTGTTAAGAAAAAGAAGCGAACGGTTTCGTGTCATTTGAAATGGAAAAAAATACATAATTGTTTTGTATTCTCCGCCTTTGCATGAAGAGACCTTTGCAAGAAGTGACCCAGATGCCATCCGCTCTTTTTATTAAATGGAAGACATGCTACAGCCATGTTTAAACATGTCCAATTTGAATAAGTACCAAGAATACGAGATAGTACCTACTTCTAAGTTTAAGCACTAATTTTAACAGCTTTTAAAAGTAATGAAGATAAGAGAGTCTGTATTACCACGTTAAACTCATTTTATACCTTAACAAATCGTAAGTGACGGTTGACGAGCTTGACGCGGGATATCCTAAAACCAAAAACAGAAGCACGCCACGTAACTAGGTGTCATGAAATTATCACAAACCTCTTTGTTTAACCCTGATAGAACTATAAGGCAATAAATGTATAAGTTGCAATAAGTATTATTCACTTTAGAATTTCAAAATTCAAACGCAGACCTCTTAGCCAATTGCTCTCCACAAAGGCGGGCTAGAAATAAAGCGCTTGTCAATTACAATAAATTATTAATCCTCCCGTGTCTGGAGAACAGCTATTGTTCATAAAATTAAAAGACCTTGGGGAGTTATTATAAAAAAAATAATGTTTACCATCAAAAATCATAAACGTATAAAGTAACTGTGTCGAGATTCCATTAAAACACCGTCGAAAAAGTTTCTAGGAAGCACTGTTCAGGGTATAATAAAGCGACATACAAATTCCCGATGCCACAGCTAACCGGGACATGGCGACCCTCGAACCAGTACTGGTATTTCCTCTTATATTCTGAACCAATATCTAAGCGATTTTTAAGCACACACCTACTTTGGTAGAGCAGCATCACCTTAAGCTTAACAGTCTTACTCGAAGAGATCAGACCTATTAGCTAGCTATTGCCACCACCTCATAGGAGATCTGAGTTGAGTAAGGTACAATTTGCGTTTCGAGCCATGGTACCTCGATACCAACAACAACAGTTGTTGCCAACATGCAGCGTCCTGATGCTGTGAGTATCCATTGAGGACAGTCCAGTCTGCGGAAGCACTCCATGAATGCCAAAAACCTTGGCATATCCTGTCGATACAAACATGCTCCAAAACACTGAAACACACGAGCAAACTTAACATCTCACATTCATTTCAAAGGCCAATTTGGATATCATTTAATTGGCCTGTTATGTTATCATCCAGCACTTAGAAAAAATTTTAAGTTTTTTAGTGCATATCCTATTTCAAATTTCTGTGCACGAAACTGCCTACACGGAGCATTACCTCGACAGGTCCAACCTACAGAACCGTTTCATTTTAATTTAACGCGTTTTGCATGCATCCCGTCTATGCATTCAAATGAGCGACCTCGCTCGGGCCAAGCAATGTTACGTAAAGTGATTTTTCATAGCCGTCAAGACGATAGACCCTATTTGCATAATCCCGCTCGGGATGAGGAGCTGAACGCTCGGGGAGGTTCACGACCGTTGCTGAAACGGGGTCGACACGGCAGGGAGGTTTAATGGAGGCGAACTGGAAGAAATGGTGTATAAGTAACAGGATATTGCGTCGTTAACTTAGATTTTTTATGTGAGAATGTGGCAAGCAAGCTGGCCGTTCACCTGATGTTATATGATAATCTCCGCCCATGTACATTCGAAATACCCGTGTGGTTGCAGATGCATTGCCACGTTTTAGTAAAGTGGGCTCCAGTTACCTCACTAGACGAAACGCAGAAGTATTACACTTCTACTTCTGCCGGTCTACTGTGAGGTCGTGGTACTTACCCAGACGGATCTGCCCGTTCATGCAACAGCGAAGACTGTTGCGTGGTCCTACACAATATTCACTTAGTGATGGATTCGATTCCCGCGATGGCGAAATATCTTTCGTCCATTTTTCTACAAAATTTAATAAAACCTATTTTCAGGACATCCCCATTGGTGCCGGAATTATCTTAATTTATTATTTATACGATAATTAAAATCCAATAAGAACTAGTACGTACACTAAAGAGAACAGAAAAAGGAATGAAAGAAGATCTATCCGAATCGGACGTCCCGGAAATACACGACCAGCGAGATTTACGGTATTAATAAAAATTAATGTCCAGCCCTGAGATGGGTCAGTGACCGACAAGACTTGGGATGAAGGTCAAAGAGATTGGAGAAGTTTCCAATTAGCACAACCATAAATACCAAGTTTTGATGGAAAGAAAGTATTCAATTTATGCCGTGTGGTGGCAAAGAATATCCTATTCATTTTACTATGTTTAAAATGTCTTTTTTTTACGATAAATAAAATCCATATTGTTCATCTTGACCGACCATATCAGCCAATATAACTCGGTATCAGATTAAAATTAAAGTGACCTTTGTGACACCTAGTAAATTAACTAGGTAGGTACCAAGTAGGCCGAAATAATTCACGTCTTCTTTTACATAATTGATTTCACTGCGATTAATGTTTCTAAAAACCTAAACGGTACCCAAGGACACAGTACAGATTCAGTGTCATTTTCCAATATTATAGTTTACACTTTCTTTCTATATTGAACTAGGGGTTGTTTTATTGTTAGAACGCAGAGTAAAAAAATCATAGCTGACGTGAAGCATCGGCGCTTAAAGTCCGCCGTGTCATACACAGTTTTATCTACAAATATTAACAACTGTTCATATTATATGTCACTACATACGTAAATTTATTAAACAAAATAGGGGACACCATGTTAAGATTTAATACCCCATGAAAACCATATTATTGATTCTGCTGTCGGCGTTCAGCAGGGAGATCCGCTAGGACCAGCATTATTTAGTTTGGGAATTAATCCAATTATTTCAAAATTGAAATCTAAACTTAATGTCTGGTACCTAGACGATGGTACTCTGGGAGGTAAAGTTGACGATGTACAAAGTGATCTTATTGAAATTATTAGACAATTTAAAAATATCGGTCTCGATTTAAATAATTCCAAATGCGAACTTTTCTTTTCCGAAAAGATTTCTTTTTCCGACAAAATCATTTTGACCCAAAATTTTAGCTCTATCATACCGGGAATTAACGTAGTCCGTTCAGATTCACTTTACCTCTTAGGTGCTCCTTTGTTGATACCAAGTTTGGAACCTCATTTAAAATTAAAGTTAAGTCAATTTTTAGATCATGTCAATAAATTGTTTTTACTAAATTCGCATATTGCGCTTACTATTTTGCGACATTGTATTCTTGTACCTAAATTTACGTACCTCCTTCGCTCGAGTCCAGTTTGGAAATGCGGTGACTTTTTGAACGAAATTGATTTCCATCTTAAATCAGCTCTAGAAAAAATTCTAAATTTATCTCTTAATGAATTAAGCTGGACTCAAGCTACGCTGCCAATTCGTTTTGGTGGTATCGGTGTAAGGAAAAATTTCTAGTGTCGCTCTACCTGCCTTCCTTGCTTCCGTGCATAGCGTAAATAATTTATGTAATAACATCCTTAATCACGATTCAGAACTTTCCTATGCAGAGGAGGCAAGGATGTCTTGGCTGTCTATCTGTCCCAACGAAAATATCCCACTGGAAGTAAACCTACAAAAACAGTGGGATGTTCCTTTGGTGCGGAGAGTACAGAGAGATACGTTTCAATCTTTAGAAAGTAATTTAGAGCGTGCCCGTTTCCTAGGAGTCTCATCTAAAGAATCGAGTTATTGGCTTCACGCCTTACCATCAAGTAACTTGGGCACATTACTTGACGATGAAAGCTTACGCATTGCTGTAGGAATCCGTCTGGGGGCACCGATTTGTCAACCACACCAATGCCCTTGTGGTGTCAGTGTAGACAAATTTGGTCTCCACGGGCTTTCTTGTCAAAAAAGTGCTGGCCGTTTTTCTCGCCACGGTTCCCTGAACGACATAATCCGTAGGGCTCTTGTTTCCATCAATGTTCCATCTATTTTAGAGCCCTGTGGCATTTTACGCGACGATGGTAAGAGACCCGACGGTTTAACATTGATCCCTTGGGAGAGAGGCAAAGCCCTTGTTTTGGGACGCCACTTGTGTAGACACTTTGGCTGCCTCTCATCTAAGGGGTACTTCGGTCAGGGCCGGGGCGGCATCGGAGGCAGCTGAAGTAAGTAAATGGCGCAAATATGAGTCTTTATGTTCAGATTATGTATTTGTGCCATTTGCTGTTGAAACATTAGGTCCGTGGGGTCCCCGCACATCAATTTTTTTTTAAAGTTTATGTCCTAGGCTTAACGCCGCGGCTGGTGACAAGAGAGCTGGTTCTTTCTCGCGCAAAGGTTGAGCATAACTATTCA